CTTATTACTGATTTCTTGGAAAAGACTCAAGATTTACTTAAATTACCCTTTAACCCGTATGTATTCTTTATTTATTTATCTTTTTAAAAAAAATTTTATTAATATTTTAATATTTTATTAACATTTTATTAATATACAACGATTTTAATTAATATTTAGGTACAATGATCCGACTAACGATGTAAAAGCGTAATGTATCTTTTTCTCATTTATATTTGATCATATTTGATTAAACCTATTTTTAACCAAATAGAATCAAATTATAGTTCTATTGGTGGTGTTTCTCCTTTTCAAATTACCGGTGGTGCAATTCAACCTTTTGACAATGAAGTTAGCTTTATCGAAAATTTATACCGTCAAGCAGCTGGTCAATATAAATCATTCGATAAAGCTGCTCATATTGCAGGTTTTATTACTCCTTTTGGATTTAAGGAATACGTACGTCATAGAATCCCCATGAGACGTGTCATTAATGGAGCGTATATTTGTTATGTGGATCCTTTAAATAAGACTTATTATTATACTACCCTTATTCTTGATGAATTTCGTTTTAAGGTTCTAAAAAATCTTTTAATTTATGAAATTGTCTCCGGAAAAGCCGCTTATATACACAGCGCTTTATATTTCTATATGAGCATGTGTACTTGTGAAGAAGATTTCAATTTAATGAAAGAGTATGGTGTTATTTCTTGGGGCTTTCCATTGAAAGGGTATGCTGAATTTCGTGAATTAATGAATGAATTAATGAATATAATGTTTTGTTGGAAATTTTCGAATACTTGGTCTTGGCATTCTGAAATGGTTAAAATTGCAAAATTTAAAGTTAAGATGCAAGATTCTTCTAACTGGACTGATTTTGCTGCAACGTGCTATTCCGGAGGCTTGTTGAAGCAAGATGTATCTTCGTCTTTTTTTAAAAGTCTTTCAACATGATCTTTTCTATACATTATCTGTCTTTTAACTTTTTTTTTTTTTGTCTTTTATCTTTTTATTTTTTCTTTCTTTTTCATTTTTTTTCATTTGAGATTTTGTATTTTATATTTAATCAATTATGCTATTTATTTTACATCTTGCATTTATACTTTATTAGCATTTTTTTTATCAATACAGTATTTACTTATTATTGTACGTATGATTTATTAAAATTACAATATGGTAGCCTAGCATATCTTTTAAAACAGTTTGCAAATAAATACTACTGCCATTATTAGAGTTATAGTTAATTGTTTGAATATTTTTGAATATTATAAATACTATAACAAATTCAGAATTTGTCAAATAATTTTGATTTAATCTTTGGTTAAATTACATAGTATGGTAAGTTATTAGTTAAGATAAGCTAATACATATTACAATAATAATATGTTTAAAACTTTGGGCACTAATATAACAGAAATTAAAAATCAGCAAAATATTTGTTGAGTTAATATCAAGGTTGTTAATGGTAATTTATTATGGTAACTTACCATGGTAAGTTACCAATAAATTATTAATAATAAGTTACCATTATAAGAACTATAATAAATTATATAATAATTAACCAATTTAGGATTAGTAATCATTAGTGATAATGATATAATATAAATAGTTTAAAATACTATTGCTATATAAAAGATAAAAATTACACTATAGTAACTTTATTGTTCAATAATGCTACAACAAAAAGGTGCTTTTTGGTATGAATTTGAATTAGTCATTGATAATTCAAATGAAATAAAGACGTATTGTTGCAAATATTGCAATAATAAATATGCTAAAAATGTTTCAAAACTTCAAGGCTATCTTGAAAAATGTATTAATTACCAAAAAAAGTTAATTGAATATGAATTGATAAATACTATATCAAGTAATAATAGAACAAAAAAATGTTGTATTCAAGATGAGTTGGATTATAAATATAGTGAAAGTGATCAAAAAGCATTAGAAAATTTATTGGCTCAGGTTTTTTGTTCAGCTGGAATATCATTTAATATTATTGAAAATGAAGATATTAAAGCTGTATTTCAAAAAGGTATTCCATGGTTTAAGGTTCCATCATGATACCATTTATCAAATACACTTTTAAATCAAGAATATATAAAAATTAAACAACTTGTTGGAAACATTTTAAATGAATCAAAATATCTTTGTATTACAAGTGATAGATGGTCTAATATTCATCGATTATTAGTAATTAACTATATAATTACAACACCAAGTCTCTTTTTTTATAAAGCAACATTTACTGGTGAAGAACAATACATGGCAATCAATATAGTTAGAGAATTGAAAATATTATTAACAAAGTTGGTGAAAATAAGATTGCTGCAATTATTATGGACAATGCGAATATTATAAAAATGGCATAAGAAATTTTAAGAATATCATTTTCACGAAAAGTATTTACTTATAATAATAAATTTTATTTTAAATATAATATAATTTATATTTATAAATTATAATTTATCAGGTTTTTTTAGGTTGCTGGGTACATGAACTTAATCTTTGGATAAAAGATATTATTAATTTAGAATGGGCATGTCAAATTATACGATCTATGAAAGAAATTCTTAATTATTTTCAAAATCATCAAATAAGCTTGGCAACACTATGTCAACTTCAAATAGAAGTTTATGATAAACATATATCATTATTATGTCCCAGAAATACTCAATGGGATCTGTATTTTATTCAACAAGTAATCTTTTAGAAACTAAAACAACTATTCAAAGAATAACATTAGAAGATAATATTAAATTATTTGATGAAATTAAAAATAAAATTTTATCAGATAATTTTTGGTTTAATCTTAAAATTTTTTGTAATTTTCTTTTACCTATTGCTATTTTTTTAAAAAAATTACAAACTAATCAACTTATGCTTTCAACAGTTTATTCAGAATTGTGTAAATTAAAAATTTCTATTTCTGAAAATACTGAAGTTTTTGATGATTTTAAAACTAATTCAATTAGTAAAGGAACAGAACAATGAAATAACTTTCTTTATAATCCAGTAATTATATTATCATACAAACTCGATCCTCAATATCAAGATAAAACTTTAAATCCAAAAAAATAGGATTCAATTATTGAAGATGAATTAATACAATTAGTACCAAGTCAAGATCAAGAAAATGTATTAAACGAATATGCAGAATATTTTTTCAAAAAAGGACATTTTGCATGACAATATTTGTGGAATTCTAATCTTATACAAAATCTGATCAATTGGTGGAGTTTATTTAAAGGCAGATATCCCATATTAAGTGAGGTTGCATTACGCATATTATCAATACCACCTACTTCTACAGCTTGCGAAAGAAATTGGTCAACTTTTGGCTTTATATATAACAAGCTACATAACAAACTTGCAGATCCAAAAGTAGAAAAATGTGTTTATATTCAATGGAACTTGCGAATTTTAAGAAATCTTGACCGAGTAGATAAATTAAATAAAAAACATGAATTTTGTTGAAAATTTAGTAAACAATAATGATTCGGAAGAAAGTGTATTTGATGATTTATTTTCAGTTAATAAGTTGATTACATATGACGATAATGGGTGCATAGATATTTGTAACGATCATAATTGAAATAAAATATTCTTTGTCGAAAGTGTAAGTATAAATAATTAAGATGAAATATTTAGAATTAAGAATAAAAATTAAATATTTATTTTATAATAAAAACCTACAGATACGAAGAAACAATTTGCTTGTTTATTTAAATGAATTAGCAATAGAAATATTTTAGCTGGTTATTATTACGATAGAATTGAAAAAAAACAATATTAGTTGTCAAAAACTTGCAGATATAAAAAAACCAGACAAGATTGCAAATTATCGATTTTGATAAATTAAATAAATTAACAAGCGTTAAAATTATTTTGATTTAAAGAATTTAGTCTACAAGGTTAATAATAAGCGAAAATTTTGATATGCAAGATTTCAAAATCTTATCGGTTTCGAATTAATAATAAAATACATAAATTGTAACTTACAGGTAAGTTACCGGTAAGTTACCATTTTGGTAGCTTACTATAAATTACCGTAATTTTACAACCCTGGTTAATATGTATTACAGTTATAATATGTTTAAAAACTTTGATCATAATTTTATCAAGAATTTTACAAGGTTTTTTATTAACCAATCATCTTTGACTATTAAATTAAAAAATACATTAGAATTTAAATACTATTTACTATTAATCTATTTAAGATGTTAATCTAGTTGATAAATTCCATACTGATATTGTTTTCTAGATCATTCTTAAGACTAGCATTATTAAGATTAGTGTTATCAACAAATTCATTGTCATTTTCCTGAGTAATTATAGGATTATCTTCAGGGTTAATATAATATATTATAAGACCAAGTATTGTACTGCAGAATGCTACAGGATATAACCGAGACATCTAATTGATAACTGAGATTAATAAATTATTGAAAAAATTTTTTTTTCAAAATATCTTATAATATACTTACCGGTTCTTTGATTATGTAATAATTAAAGATTAAAGTGTAAAAATCGTTAGTGAGTAAAGATAAATTAAAATATAATGCAGATGAAATACGGAAAAAGACTGAAATTCCGAAATATAAAAAAATCAATGCAGCATTGTACGCAATTAAAAGGC